TTTTACTATATCTGACCATTTTTTGGTTTTCTAGCTTCACTTGAGTCTCACTCTCTCCTATGTTTCCGGAATAGGAGTGTCCAGACTTGTTTATAATCGTGCACTACCCTGTCTCTTGATAACCTAACTCAACCCCGATAGGAAAAGATTTATAAGATTATATGACGAAATCTGAATAAAATTGGGAATGCTGCAATTATGTTGCAATATTTGCTACAATACTGATAGAAAGGCCGTAGCCGGATAAAAAGGGTCAATGTGCCCCCACACGGATCATGCTCATTTTTCTTGCTTTGATTGCCATCAGTGTCACTTACAATTTAGTCAAATATTAGCCCTTAATATTGAACCGTTTTGCTGTAAAAAATAAAAATAAAATTTTCGAAAATAATTCATATCTTTTGATCGGCTTAACCAATTTTGATGAAATTTTAATATGTTGTAGATATCATTGAGACACATTTGTGAAAAATTCAGGAAAGGTTTCTGATGACAGAAACATTGTTAAAAAAGAAATAAATAAATATTCTTGATTTTTTCAGTTCCGATATCTTTCTTGTACAATTACGAAAAAATTTTTCTAGAATCTTGGAGTAGGTTCCTATCAGACATAAAATAGGTAAACGGTACTTTTAAAAAATAAAGTTTTTTTTTTTATTTTTTTTTAATATGATATGTTTTTGGTACGATTGCTATATATTTTATGTAAAATTTTGGGCTAGTATTCTACAACAAGTAATTTTTTCGAACCAATAAAATGGGTGAAAAGTACTTTAAAAAAATATATATATTTTTTTAATTATTACAGCTTTTTGGTACCATCGCTATATTTTTATTTAGAATCTTGGAATGGCATTCTACAACAAGTAATTTTCCGGAATTGATTAAATAAATAGGTGCAGGTACTAAAAAAATAATAAAATAAAGTAAATTGAAATAATTATAAAAAAATAAACTATAATCGTATTAAATCAAATGTTTATTAATGAAGTAACATGCACATACACGTACACATACACTCAAAATAATGAAGTACACATACACATTTGTTCACATAATCACTCCCATATTATTATTTACAGTTATATTCATATGGATGGACTAATCTTCATCACTATCTTCATTGATAATAGGCGTGATGCCGTCTGTTTTAAATATATTTAAATATTAAATATATTTAATATTAAATATAAAATATATTAAATAAAATAAATAAAGTAAAATAAAAAAATAAAAATAAAAAATAAAATAAAATAAAAAAATATTAAAAATATTTAAATACTAAATATATTTAAATATATTTAAAACAGACGGCATCACGTCTATTATTAATAAAGATAGTGATGAAGATTAATCCATCCATATAAATATAACTATAAATAGTGTAAAAGCAAGCAATTTTTTTTAAGTTTGTAGTAGGTAAAGAAAGAAGGTAAAAAATAAATAAAAATATATATATGATATATTGATGATCACACACACACACACACACACACACACACACACGCACGCACGCGCGCGCGCGCGCGCGCGCACACACATTTCTGTCACGACGTATATTATACTACGTTTACGCGAGAGTTACTTCTATAGTAACTTATTTATACTATAATCCTTCCACGTAAACGGGGATCCTGTAGTAACTTATGAAAATTCATCCCGCGTAAACAAGTGAATTATCGTAAGTTAGTGTATATGTTATAGTCAAAGCCCGAAACGCAGGCATTCCTAGGATTGACTAGTCAATCCTGGGGAACGACCAAGCGTCTTGGTCAAAGCTCGAAATAAGTTTTGCGTTTTGGCTTTTAACTAGTCAATCCTAGAAATAACTAATTCGGCTGGTTAAAATTAGAAACTAAAGAAAAATCACTTCGGCATTTGACTAATTAATCCTAAAAATAACTAATACGGCTGGTCAAAGTTAGAAATTAAAGAAAAATCACTTCGGACTTTGACCAGTCAATCCTAGGTGTGGCTTAATTTGGACTGTGTGACTGTTAACAAATAAAATCAAGTTTTTTTTTACTAAATTAAATTCTTATTGTTATTAATGCCCCGCGACGCGAGATATTAAACGTTAAAGTTGACAGGAATCAGGTTATGATTCCTGTCATACCGACGAGCTGTAGCGACTACTGGCGACTACGAACATGCCCTGTGGCCACATACGCATGTTCAGTGGCCGCACGCGCATGCAAAACTGCGCAAATGTTAAATGAATCAATCGTGCAGAATAACCCAAGCATCTCGATTCAAGCAGTTAGGTCTCACGCTAGGGCAGTTTCATTAGTTTAATTATGCGTGGGAAGCACACACACACACACACGGGGGGGGGGGTACGAGGAGGGGGCCTTTGCCTCCCCCCTCCCCCGCACCCACCCCGTCGGTAGGCAGCGTGGACCTCGCTTTATAACATAAAGTACATGCTAAGTTGTAAAACGAAATTATAAAGTACATGCATGGGGGAGGGTGCAGGGGAGAAAAGCCTTTCTGTTCACGTGGGCTCACGCATGTAAGCCCCCTTGCACCCCTCCATGCATGTGCTTTATAATTTCGCTTTACAACTTAGCATGTACTTTATGTTGTAAAGCGAGGTTCACGCTGCCTACCGACGGGATGGGTGCGGGGGAGGGAGGGCCGAAGGCCCCCCCTTGCACCCTCCGTGTGTGTGTGTGTGTGTGTGCTTCCCACGCATAATTAAACTAATGAAACTCCCAGCGTGAGACCTACCTGCTTGAATCGAGATGCTTGGTTATTCTGCACGATTGATTCATTTAAAATTGGCGCAGTTTTGCATGCGCGTGCGGCTACTGAGCGGCCACAGGGCATGTTTGTAGTCGCCAGTAGTCGCCGTAGTCGCTACAGCTCGTCGGTATAACAGGAATCATAACCTGATACCTGTCAACTTTAACGTTTAATATCTCGCGTCGCGGGGCATTAATAACAATAAGAACTTAATTTAGTAAAAAAAATCTTGATTTTATTTGTTAACAGTCACACAGTCCGAATTAAGCCACACCTAGGATTGACTAGTCAAAGTCCGAAGTAATTTTTTTTTAGCTTCTAACTTTGACTAGCCGTATTAGTTATTCCTAGGATTGACTAGTCAAAAGCCGAAACGCAAAACTTATTTCGGGCTTTGACTAAGACGCTTGGTCGTTCCCCAGGATTGACTAGTCAATCCTAGGAATGCCTGCGTTTCGGGCTTTGACTGTAACACATATGTAACGCTTGCGTAAACATAGTAACGATCACGACTGTCACTACACGACTGCGACTCTCTGACCCGCTAATATTTCGCTTCTTGTGACACCCACATCCTAATTTCGTGGCACTTCGATCTGTGCGTGACGCGACCAAAATTTGGAATTAAACAATCGTAGTATTTAACGATGAGAGACTACGGTGTTACGCGCGAACGCGATATGTATTTCTAGGTTACAACTGACTGACAGCGTGCTGTTCGCGCGAACGCACTGAGCGATCAGCGCACACGTACGCGTATATGCTGTCTCTTTCCAGTGAAGCAACCTTATCATGGAGGGGCCCCGGGGGGGGGGGCACGCTTGAGATGTTCTCAAACGCCATCTATCAAGGCAAAAGCAACCGTACGGGGACGACGACAACAACGACGACGTTTCTTAATTGTAAAATTTAACATTTCAGACTTTGCATCGTAATATCTCCGCTCTTATTATATAATTCAAACCCAAGCTATCGATCAAGGCTACTTAGAACTTGATCCGTTCACTCGTTATTGAGATCTCAAAATTTCGGTTACTCGCAACTCGTGCGTTCGCGTAAAAGAGTCACAGTGCGGTCTCGTTTCGCGTGTACTTGGCGCGAGACACTACCGTGTCTCTTGATAATTTTGCTTCTAATTTCTCAATTTTATACAAATATCGTTCAGGAATTTCATGCTGGCAAGAACGCTGCGTTATGAGATATCATCTTAGCACAATAATTTTTTATACCACACAAATATGAGTTATATATAAACATACATGGTGTGTCCGGAAAGTAATGATAATAATTATTTTATTCTCTACAGGAGGGCTGCGTAAAGAAAGTGGAAGTCGATGTAGTTGAAGATGAAGGATCTCAGGTATACGGTTGGATCCTCCTGAGTCCGAGCCTTTCAAACGGTCGGTACGTTACAGAAGTGCACTCTTGTTTTTTGCTCTCGTCGCAGACAAAAATGCAGAGGAGCGTCGAGCAGCGTTACGCAATTAAATTTTGCGTGGCACTTAGAAAAACAGCTTTCCAGAAACGTTAGAAATGTTAAAGACAGCGTATGGGAAAGCTGCTTTGTCGTATGGAAGCCGTCGGGGATGAACAGCTTTGGGCGATCTTCAACGTTCAAAAACCGATGAAAACCGTGGCCGTTATTAAGGCTGTTTTGGATCAGGATCAACGTTTAAATGTCAGACAAATCGTAGATAAGGAAAAACGCTGCTCGATGGTCCTCTGCATTTTCGTTTGCGACAAGACTGAAAAACAAGAGTGCACTTCTGTAACATACCGACCGTTCGAAAGATTTAGGCTCAACTGAAGAGAGTTCAACCGTATACCTGAGATTCCCCCTCAATTACCTCGATCCTTACTTTCCTTAAGCAGCCCTCTTGAGGAGCATATAAAAATAATTTTTATTACTTTTTGGACACACCACGTATATGATCAGATCTGCGCAGACATGAGAAGTATCATATCTGAGCATATCTGACCAGATATAATTTTATCTACCGATATCACATTGCGATATAATTTGATCTGGTCAGATCTAATCCTTTTTTTCCGAGAGGTTAGATTATATCTTTAGCGCATCCAAAAATATACTTACATTACATGTCAAGATCATTGAAATCGCCACTAATATGCAATTTTACCAAATTTTTTAATTTAGAGACTAATAATTTAAATTTACGCGTAAAAGATTATAAATTTAATTATTTTTTCTTTACTTTTCTTCTACGAAAGAATAACAAAGCCTATAGGCATACCTCCAAAAATAGGTTTAGCGATCTCAAAAGTGTAACGCGCCTTAAAGCCACTATAGACAAGCTCCGAATCGGAATGTAAGATTACTTTTAAGCCAAGAGCACCGAGATTAGATTCTACCGGGCCCGGCGCGGTCACACCGCAATACCTTCCTATCAATTTCTCCGTCTCATCTCGGTACATATTGTAAATCTCCAGCCAATCATCCTGGCAGAGTTCGTATCTAATAAACACCAAACAATATCGATTTTGATCAATATGTAACACTACAAGACATAATTATGATTCACTCACCCATAATGTCCTACTGTCACATTATCGTTTCTCGTGCGAACCTTAAAGTGATCAAAGATCAGAGCAACCTGCTCATTTGGCGTCGCCAGGAAAAGATACGTGCAATTCGTGTCGCTCGGATAATTGCTAGGATATCGCGGTGAATTGAATTCGCCGCGTTTACGAGAAGAACTACGATAAGTAAAGGTGCAACTGCCATCGGGCGCCGCGGTGCCTGGTATCTTGTATTCCGTTTCAAAAATGTACCTATCAAACATACAGCAATGAATATTATATTATATCAGTTACAAATATTATATTAGTGATATAAAAGCAAGCATTATATTAAATTAATAAAAATCATGTTTATGACTTTTTTCTTATTTCAATATTTTTGATTAAATATATCTGTTTATATCATGCGTACTAAAAGTTCCGAAACGGCCAATTATCTCAGAAGTATTGGTTTATTTAAACAAATCAGACAAAAGTTGGAGGGTTCAAAGGAGGCCAATTAAGTGCTCCTTCTGGGCTCAACACGGGCCTCAGATCTAAAATCTAATAAGATTTGTCTATTTCTATTGGGCCCCTTTTAAACCCACCAACTTTAGCTGAAACATTTTTCCAATAAACCAATACTTTTTGAGATAATTGGCCGTTCCAGAACTTTTAGTACGCACAATATAATATGAGTCATTAGAAATTACTTTCCTTAAGTAATAAATCTTAAGTATAATCTTAA